CACCACCATGCCCAGCTAATTTTTGTATTTTTAGTAGAGACGGGGTTTCACCATGTTGACCAGGGTGGTCTCGATCTCTTGACCTCGTGATCCACTCGCCTCAGCCTCCCAAAGTGCTGGGATTACAGGCGTGAGCCACCGCGTCCGGCCCTGGAACAATTAAGTTTTAAAGGAGACTTCCAGCCTGGGGAACATAGTGAGACTCCATCTTTTAAAAAAAATTAGCTGGGTGTGGTGGTGCGCACCTGTGGTCCTAAATACTCAGCATGCTGAAGTGGGTGGATTGCTTGAGCCTGGGAGTCAAGGTTTCAGTGAGCTATGATTGCACGACGGGACTCTAGCCTGGGTGACAGAGGGAGATCCTGTCTTGAATAAATAAGACTACAGACACATGACAAGTAATTCAATGCAGAGACCTGAACCAAATTTTGGATAGAGATCTTGGAATAATTGGTGAAATTGGAATATGAGCTGCATTATATCAAGATTAAGTTTTCTGAATTTGATAACTGTAATGTGGTCATGTCAGTTAATTTCCTCCTTTTTGAAAATGAATCCTGAAGTATTAGCAGGTAAAGGCACATGATATATTCAAGTTATTCTCAAATGGTTCAGAAAACCCGCCCAAATATATATATGGAGAAAGAGAACACAAGTGGCAAAATATTACCAATTACTGTATCTAGGTAATAGATATACAAGAGTTCTTCCCCCAATATTTTATTAGGAAAATATCCAAACATACAGAAAAATTCAAAGAATCCTTCTGTAAACACCTACCACCAAGATTCTACAATCAACAGCTTTCTAAATTTCTTTTATCACATATTTATTTACATATTATGGAAGATTTTGCTATTCTTGCAACTTTTCTCTAAACTTGAAGTTATTTGACAATTAAAAGCTAAGCCAATTAGTATAGCAGTAATAGCAGACCAAAAAAAATAAAATAAGGAGGTTTTGGGGAACAGAAAGAAGAAAGAGCTAGTGTGGGGATACCAAATCAAAGCTTTTGGAACTTTAACACCGTTTTGAAGCTAGTGCCTTAGGCAATTCGGCCAAAGATCAGTGTCTCGGCTGCCCTCTATAGAGCTCTAAACCTGGCTTCAAGGAGTTCTTTCATGCGTCATTAAATACCACTATACGTCATTTTAAAGAGCCAGAAACTACATTTCCCAAAAGGCCTTTATTTTTCCTCGCGGTAAATGGGATTGCGATTACTATAGGTTTTACAAATCTCGCGAAATTTCATCAAATCTCATTACGGATCCCGGCTGAAAGCCATTTTGTTTTTCAGCGCTCTTCAAGGGTACCTGAAGCGAATTTGCACCAAAGCAGCAGCTGTGTTGCTGCAGTTCGATCTTCACCTTCACGATGTTTCCCTTGGTCAAAAACGCACTAAGTCGTCTGCAAGGTGAGCAAAAATTACGCTAAATCGTTTCCAACAACCTTATATCAATTTGTCTTCGCGGCCTCTCTTGTCCTTTCCCTGTACCAACATCTCGGCCTTCTAATCTGAATGCTGTCTGTTTTCCATCTCGTCCCAAGTCATTGGGATGATGTCCTTACTGACTTTATCACCCAGTGTTTCTCTTTCGGTTTTCAGCTCCCTTTCTGTTATCAGAGTGGTAGTCTAGCACTGCTTTTTAATTCTTCAGTAACCTTTGATTTCAGGGTAGGACACTCATGGTAGACACCTCTCGTTCCTTAAGTGATGTCCTACATTTTAGCTTTGGGGATATGTTTACTCCTAACCTTGTATAGAAGAATATCTTCTCGAATTCCTATTATTGTAATAGACGGCAACGGTAGGTAAATCTAGCTCTTCATCTGGTTTAATTGCAAGGAAACAACCCACATGGTATCGATGCAGCTTTTAAGTTATTTGAGGGTTAACAGTGTTAGCTGACCGGGCGCGATGGCTCACGCCTACAATCCCAGCACTTTGGGAGGCCGAGGCGGGCGGATCACCTGAGGTCAGCAGTTCTAGACCAGCCTGGCCAACATGGTGAAACCACATCTCTACTAAAAATACAAAAATTAGTCGGGCGTGGTGGCAGGCGCCTGTAATCCCAGCTACCTGGGAGGCTGAAGCAAGAGACTCGCTTGAACCCGGGCGGCGGAGGTTGCAGTGACCCGTCTTAAATAAATAAATAAATAATATTAGCTGTCTCGAAAGCAATCCTGGTCATTTTTTCTTATCAAAAAGTTTGGCAAGTACAGGGAATTTTGAGACCAGCATTATGTAGTGAGAATGCAATAGATTGAGGAGAACAAATTAATTTTAATACTTGATTTGCACTGAAGGTGACCTTGGGTAATGTGGGCAGTTGTTATACAATGAAGATGCCCCTGAATTACTATTTAGTTTGTTTAGCCTTCTTTTGATTTTCACTTAACATAATCATTGGAGAATATTATTAGGTTGTGTTCTAAACAGTTAAGCAACTTTGAAAATAACCACAAAATATTAGCTGGACTATTTTTATATTCCAAAAGCAGCATTTATTATTTCTTTTACTTTGTGCATATAATTTATTTGGCCTCTCTCAATGTCAGTTTCCTTCTTTGTAAAATAAGTAATTTGTAAATAATACCTAAATTGTAAATAATGCCTGCTTCATGGGGTTGTTGAGGATTATATGAGATCATGAATGTGTGGTAATGAAACAGCTGTCACAGAGGAGAGGTCTAATGATATCCACCAGAGTGACATGAGTATGTTGAAGTTATGTTGCAGAATTTTTTGGTAGTCTTAATTTCTTTGCTCTTTGAGCAAATAGAGCCATTTTGTACCTCAGGAAAGATTTTTTGTTTCTTTCGGTGTGGAATTCACATGCCCACTTTTTATCTTTTCTGCAGCAGAATATATTAGGAAATGTTTGTAAATTTGCTTATCTCAGTGTGACTAAAAACATGAAAATGGAAAGCTATGTAAGGCAGTTAGAAAATCCAATAATGTCAAATAACTATTTCTAAGTAACTCACTGTACCACATAGAAGTCATTATATTATTAATTGCTAGTGAATGGGCAACCTTGCAATCAGTTTCTTTCTTTCTTTCTTTCTTTTTTTTTTTTTTTGGAATCCAACTTCCTTAGCTTTAATTTGGAGAGCGAAACTATGGCCCTAGTCTTTTTTTTGTTTTGTTTTTTGAGACAGAGTTTTGCTGTTGTCCAAGCCCTCCTTTTTAGTTCCTCCAGGGGCCATTTAAAAAAATTTTCTCCTCTTTCTACTAGTATAATAATAACAGCAGAGTTTATCATTCTGCTCAAAAACTTTTACCACCTCCCCCTGCCTACCAAAAAAAAGTGGTCTTCCATGGTCCTTTCTAGTTTTATCCCCTGTTACTTACCTGTGCATCTTGTCCTTCAACCAAACTTAATTAGTTTTCTAGTATGCTGAACTTTTCTATGTTTGCCTTTTTCAGATTTTCCTTATCTCACGTTTCTATAACCAAATCCTGTCTGCCATTCAAAGTGCTTAGCTAGACTGGACTGAAGGTAGTGGTTTGTCTCAATTGATTGCTCACAGTCAGTTAAAGATTGAACTTCCTTGTTCTACTCTAGTCTTAGGGAAAAAACAACAGCAACAACAAAAAAAGTGCTTAGCTAATTCTGCTTCCTTGTACGATATTGATTTGTGTCTACATGTGTAATATTCTCTAGACTGGAAGTTACTTGAGGACAGGATTTGTGTCTTAACACTTTTTTATATACTCCATTTCTTTTAGCATGGTGCCATATTCATTAATTTTAAATTTGTCTCATTTTTTATTTTTAGAGATAGAATTGCTCTGTTACCCAGGCTAGAGTGCAGTGGTGTGATCATATCTCACTGTATCCTCTATTTCCTGGACTCAAGTGATTGTCCAGCCACAGCCTCTTCAGTAGCTGGGACCACAGGTGTGCATGTACCACCATGCCTGGCTAATTTTTAATTTTCAATTTTTTTCTAGAAACAGGGTCTCACTATGTTTCCCAGTCTGAAACTCCTGGCCTCAAGCAATCCTCCTATGTTGGCCTCCTAAAGTATTGGGATTACAGATGTGAGTCACTGTGCCCACCTATTAATTTTTTACAAATCAAGATTACTCTAGTTTTTGGCAAGTTTTTTTTTTTAAGATGGGGTTTCACCATGATGGCCAGGCTGGTCTGGAACTCCTGACCTCAGGTGATCCACCCACCTCGGCTTCCCAAAGTGTTAGGATTACAGGCATGAGCCACTGCGCCCGGCTGGCAAGTTTTTTTGTTACTATAGTAATTTTATGATCATAAGCATTTAGTGTGTTTTAATTTGAAGTTCATTTGAGTTTCTTTGCCCTTGCATGTTGTAAGTTGTTGGGCTCCATTGAGTAAACTTTAATGAAAATTTAAGTCATAAGTATTCAGATTCATCAATGGGAGCTGAAGTTTCAGGGGTTATGCAAATACTACCTCGTAGAGAATGTTACAACATTCATTCTTTGCTTTTTTCCCCGACACTATTATGAAAACTCTCAGACATACTGAAAAGTTGGAAGAATTGTATGAATACCCATGTACCCGCCACATAGATTCTACAGTTAACATTTTGCTATATTTGTTTTATCATATATCTATCCATCTGTGAGTCTTATTTTTGGTGCATTTCTAAGTACATTGGTTCGCCTTGATTAATAGCTAAAATACGTTTTAACATTTTATTGAACTACATAATACTGTAAAATTAACTTCCTTGGATTTCCTGATTGGCAGCATCAATCACATATGTTCTTTTCCTGACAATTGATAGTAATGCTTCTGTATTTTTTTTTTTCCGTAAGTTCGAAGCATTCAGCAAACAATGGCAAGGCAGAGCCACCAGAAACGTACACCTGATTTTCATGACAAATACGGTAATGCTATATTAGCTGGTGGAGCCACTTTCTGTATTACTATGTGGACATATGTAAGTACTATTGATTGATAATTTCTATTTTAGATGTTTTCATTCTCATTTAGTCTGTGCATTCAAAGTATTTTAACACAGTAGTATACAAATTTAGTTAGGAGGGACTTGAGAGATTATGTAATCTAATTACTCACCCAGTACAGGGATTACTTTCCCCCAGCATTCATGTTCTTAACATTCCCAGTAATATATTGCTTAGTGGATCACAAGGCAGCCCTTTCCATATTGCGTAGCTGGTGTTTTTTCTTTTTTTTGAGATGGAGTCTCACTCTGTTGCCCAGGCTAGAGTGCAGTGATGCAATCCCGGCTCATTGGAGCCTCTGTCTCCCAGGTTCAAGTGATTCTTCTGCCTCAGCCTCCTGAGTAGCTGGGACTATAGGCACGTGCCACCATGCCCATTTTTTTTGTTTGTTTGTTTTGTCTTGTTTTTTGAGATGGAGTCTCCCTCTGTCACCCAGGCTGGAGTGTAATAGCACAATCACGGCTCCCTGCAACCTCTGCTTCCCAGGTTTGAGCATTTCTCCTGCCTCAGCCTCCCAAGTAGCTGGGATTACAGGTGCCCGCCACTACGCCCAGCTAATTTTTGTATTTTTGGTAGAGACAGGATTTAACCAGGTTAGTCAGGCTGGTCTCGAACTCCTGACCTCAGGTGATCTGCCTGCCTCGGTCTCCCAAAGTGCTGGGATTACTGGTGTGAGCCACCGTGCCTGGCTAATTTTTGTATTTTTAGTAGAGACAGGGTTTTACCATATTGGCCAGGCTGGTCTCGGACTCCTGACCTAGTGATCTGCCTGTCTCGGCCTCCCAGACTGCTGGGATTACAGGCATGAGCCACCACACTCGGCCTTGTGTATCTGTTAAAAGGTTCATATGGTGAGTTAAAATCTGACTTTTTATTTTTTTTGAGTTGGAGTCTTGCTATGTCGCCCAGGCTGGAGTGCAGTAGCACGATCACAGTTCACTACAGCTCTGCCTCCTGGGTTCAAGCAGCTCTGCCTCAGCCTCCCTAGTAGCTGGGATTACAGGCACCCAACACTATGCCTGGCTCATTTTCTTGTATTTTTAGTAGAGATGGGGTTTCACCATGTTGGCTAGGCTGGTCTCAAACTCCTGACCTCAGGTAATCCACCTGCCTTGGCCTCCCAAAGTGCTGGGATTACAGGCGTGAGCCACTGTGCCCGGCCCTGACTTTTTTTCATATGCTACCCATCATTTCATTGTAACACAGAAATTCTGACCTACTTCCTTATAACAGCTATCAGATAATAGAATATTGCTATCATATCTCCTGAATTTTCTTTTTCAAATTAAACATCCTTAATTCTAGTGGTAATTTTTTTGTTACATGGTTTGACAGATGAGATGTAATGTAACTTTTTATATTTTAGTTTCTTTACATCTCAAATTTGACAATCTATTTTCTAGTCACTGTACTTAATGGCTAAAAGTGGGAGTCTTGAAGTCTTAATATATAACTTGGTTTAAAAACATACAAATTAACCCTCACCTTTTTTTTTTTTTTTTT